GTGGCGATATTTTATTTGTATGTTAATAAATAAAGTTTGTCTGAAGATCAGAGGAAATAGCAGGCCATTAATACAAAAGTCAGGCAGTGATAGCACACCACCTTAATCCTAGTGTCTGTCTCTGTGTGTTCAAGGTCACACTAGGCAACAGAGCCAAATGTGATGACACACGCCTTTAATCCCAGTACCAACCATAGAGACCTGGAGGTCTGTGCAGACAGGCAGTGACAAGGAAGTGAGGTAGCTGGGCTAAGAGCCAATGAGAGGGCAGAAAAGCAAGGCAATAAAGGCGCAGGTTAGACAGGAAGTAGCTCAAATTTTGGAAGCTACAGAGCTGGTGAGGTAAGGTGGTTGGTGGCTGTCACTATTTCCCAGATCTCTAAGGCTTTCACCCCTATATTTGGCTCCATGTTCTTTATTTAATAGGACTGCTTAGAAATTTGTCTACACTGATGGAATCTAAATATTCCAAGATTCCTTCAAATTCTTCACTTTTTTGATAGTAAAAAGAGCATGATAAATTTGGCCCACCTACATGGTCTTAAACATGCAAAAGGAAATTATAACCAGTATTAAAATGACCAGTATGTTTCTTTATCAGTCCTTAGACATTATACTTAACCATGCAAGATATTATTTGGACAACTATATATTACTAATGATCTTCCTGATAACTCTGTTTCCAGAATGGTACTTCTCATAGCTATAATGGGGTGTCATATGTCCTAACCAATCAATTGTTGAGCCCTTCTCTAGGAAACATTGTTACTCCTGCCCTTAGCATTCCTTAGTTGCTTCTAGTTCTTTGTCTAGGGTTGAAACCTCAGTGAGTTTTCCCCTTTTCATGTTAGCATGTATGTTGGTATTCTTCTTGTCCAAATAATGTTTAGGTCATGCATTTGAAAGAGAATGGATAATTTCAAGGGAGGAAGGCAAGGTGGAAGTGATGTAATCATATTAATCTCAAAAAAATAAAAAAAAATATTTTTAAGAAAAATTTTATGCCATTACCATAAACAATATCTTCCCTGGCATGGAAATTCTTATATTATGTATCTTTAAATGTTTCTATTTATGCTGTATTTTTCAAATGCTAGAAACAAAAATTATTTTGCAAACTTGAAATATCTTTCACGCCATAATGACCTTTTCTTTATCTCCATTATCATTCAATCTCTAAATGTATCTATGGGTATTAAATTGTCTTTATTTATTTTGAAGAGTTCAGTCCTCTGGAAAAGCAGAATTTGCCAATGAGACCCTCCAATTATCCACTAAATACAGGATCAGACTGAAGAGATTGTTCATTGTTTAAGAGTGCTTTCTCCTTTCCCAGAGGACATTAAGTCATTCCCAGAATCCATGTTGGGTGGCTCACAACTGCCTGTAACTATACCTTTCGGGAATCCAATGCAATCTTCTGGCTTCTTCAGGCACCTACACATATATGGCATATACTCAAATAGAAATACACACATACAGATAAGTAAAAAGAATAAGAATGGATCTTAAAAAAATATATTGACAGGAGAACCAGCTTACCTAAAGGGCAATGCTACCAAGAACTCCAAGAAGTTCATTTAGGTCCTTATTTAGCCATAAGCCCAAGCCCTCTGAAATACTTTATGGGTGACCTTTTCTATATTCAGATATGTATGAATATTATTGCTTATAATCTCTAATCTGCCTCCAGATTCAATGAATTGCAATGGTCTGTCAACAATATGTATTATAGAGATTTCAAATACATTCAGAAATATGATTAAAAAAGAACCTTCACCAGGATACTAACAGGTTCTAATCAGAACTTACAGAGAGGGCCCTTAGGACCAACAGTTAACTTAACTACTAGAAAGGAATTAAAAAGGTCCTTTTCTTATGCTTTTATCTTCTCCAATCACCAAGCTTCTAGAAATTTCCAACTGGATTCATCACTCCCAAGTAAACCATACAAAGGAAGTTCTTCTGAGGAAGTCTTCCCAAAGCCCCTTAGGAGGGTCAAGATATAAGTAATTAAGTAGTTACATTCTCAATTTTTTGAGGATTTCAATTCTTGGGGATGACTCTTAGGTAGCTAGATAGATCTTAACAGAGTTAAAGGTTATTGAGGATGGGCCCCTTCCTCATAATTGGCAGTTTATGAATTGAGAAACCCAAATTTCAGGAATTTGGTAAATGAGTTGGATCTGAATCTGAATCTCTCTTTTGCCCTTGGTTGAGATATGACTTTCTATACCATTGACAAGATTAAAAATCATACTATCTTGTTTTGGCTTTCTGGTATACAATAAAGTTAAGTCACATTCTCCTTTAATTCAGGAGTCAATTAAAATGGTTTTCTCAATAACTTAGGCAGGAACATGTATGTCAGGAAAGGTGTTTCTTCTAGGAGCTTTAAGAAATAGTATGATGCTTATGTCAATACTATAAGTTGGCAAAATTGTCTTTTTTTTGGCCAATCTCTATTTTCACCCCTCCAAAGTTTGGCCTATAAAACTGTCTCTCTGACTTTTGTTGACTCTCATCCCATGACAGTGTTTTCCTTGACAAATGGCATCTTTGAACACTGTACATTTACCAAAGGCTGTACCTCAATTTATTCAATAATAAATTCTTACTGTCTTCTCACCTGAATCCTTTCAACACAGATCATAAGTAACAGGGAGCGGAACTAAGCCAAAGGGAGACCTCAGTAACATAATAGATAACTTTTTCTTAAACCACGTCCTGGGGTAGGAAAAGAAGGTGCTAGCCTAAAATTTTAATTGCAATTTTAGAGGTGTCACAATTTAATGTTCCTATCTGGTACATATTTCATGTCAGTTACCTTTTTTTTTCCTGTAAAAGTGGAACCTGGTTTTCTTTCATCTTCACTGTACTGGACATTGTGTTTGAACATAAACCTTTTAATTTCCAAGGTCTCTGTGCTCTGCATCTTTGTTCTATATAGCTTAGTCTCTCAATTATTGAAATGAGGGCACTGAATGACATTCCTAAGAGTGCCAATGACAATCACCTTGGAACAGAAAGTCCAAACATGTTTTTCCTTTAGATAAACAATATTAACATCTGTCAAAGACAAAGAGGCAGATGATTCATGAAACAGCATTAAGCAACTATGAAGAACCTCTTGAAAACTAAACATGTAATGTATAAAAAGATAGTTATTGATGGCTCATTCAATACCAAGGGAGAAAATACATAAATGCAGATACACTGTGGCAGAGAAAGAGTGGGTCAGGGATAGGACAAGCTGGATGTTTCCTGTATTACTTACAAATGCATTCAAAAATTATAAAAAGAAAATGCACAAATATGGTGTGTGAGCATGCTTCTAGGAGAGAAGTCTCCCACTTGAAAAAACATTAAAGAGCCAACAAGGAGGACAAAATCTGATCTGCAATATTTTTGTTTATCTGCAAATGTGTACATGAAGAGCAAGATCAATATTTCTTCAGGCCCTTAATGTGAAGCATGTGGCTGCATTAATGAGCATAAACCTATGATGCAGAATCGATAGCTCTATTTCTTCTTACCTGACTGTATTTGAAGCTGTGAAAATTTTTCTTTTGTTGTACTTAGGAAAACCAGTCTGTTTACCTTGTTAAATGTGTGGATCAGGGCCAGTCAGGCTCCTTTCTACCGACAGGTTTGCTGAATCACTCACCTAGAAACCCAGTCTGGATGAGGCTAATTAAGCCCAGCTGGAGCATGACACCTGACAAAAATGCTTACTTTGAGTTTGCCCTTGAGTTCAGCCTTACTCCAATGAAAATTTGTATTCGGACCCTCTCCAGAAGCAAGAGTGGTATAGAAATAATGATAAGCTTGGTGAAAAAGAAAAGGTAACAAAGAAAAGATAAATGTAAGTGACAAAAGGTAACCTGCATGGAGATTCTGGGAAGATGAAGTCGGGTGGCATTAATTAAAAAAAAAAAGCAAAACAATTCATTTGACCCTATTTTAAATAGCCAGTTAATAATAAGACCAAAGTAGATTTCTTTTTTTTGGAGAAAATACTACATTATATCATATGTAGAATGATGCTGTATAGCTTGTATATATGAAAGTATTGTATGAGTTTGCTATATTTTATAAATAAATATGGATGTTTATGTGCTCCTTTCCCATGTGGTTATAATTTTATTTGAGCTCTTTCAAATTAATACATTCAACTTTATTATCTAAAAAAAGTAAATAATTATTTCATCATTTTAAGAACTATAGGATGTCTGGACTATAGTAAAAACTGCTTAGTTCACTATGTGACACTGTTACTTTCATGAAAGTCCACAGAACTGTTCCTTAATTCACAGAAATTACTTTGCTGCTATAGAGAAATTGTTTCTTTTGATCTCCTGAACACTGAGTTATAAAACTCATTATTCCCCTCTTTTGCCATGATTACTAAAATGCTTAGTGTTTTTTTTAACCCTGACTAGAAAAAAAAAACTTTCTGGACATCATGATGTGTGTTATGTAAGCTTGGATTTCATATGACAAATGTTTACCTGCATATTATTTTTCCTAGGATGGTGATCTCACTAAAACCACTTACATGAAATTGGGAACCACTTTCAGTTGGATAGTCTAGGCTCAAACTGATAGATTTGTTTCTATTCAAACCAATCAGTCTCTTTATTAGCAAAATTATGATATAATCTGGCTGTTTAGGGGTCTCATTATAAAATGTGTCCATTTTTGTTCCTCCTTCAACCATAGCCATATGTAACTTAAAAATTAGAAAAATCCTGTACACGGTGTTTAAAGCATGTAATCCTATTACTCTGAGAACTGAGACAGGAGCATCACAAGTCTTAGGTAGGTCAGACCTACCTAGAGATATCCTATCTCAAACAAGCAAACATATAAAAATATGCTTAATCTGTTTCAATAAGTAATTGGATTGATATTGTTAACGCCATGTGGCCTAGCAGAGGGACCACACTGTAATAAAATACATCATTACTGTCTAAATAAATACTTAAAAAATAATTCAAATCTCAAAATAAACTTACCTGTGACTATGGATGAGAGCATTCAATGCTAGGCCATCAGACCAGCTGGAGGTGAAGTTGATGACATTAACCTGTGGATAATTACGTGTTGATTGTCGGACCCAGCTCAGAAGAATCTTTTCACTGTTGGTTTGCTGCAACCCAGCCATGATAGTTTTCATCACATTTTTGACCTATGTGTTAAAGAAAATTTCAGTAAGAAAACACATTCTCCAATCAAGTACTCTTCACATTTTAAAAAGAATGTCCCTACTTTTCAAGGAAAATGGTTGGGGTATTAGGGAGATTTATATATATATATATATATATATATATATATATATATATATATATATATATAAATGCATTTTATTGTGTCAGCATTGATTCTAATTGGTTAGGAATCAATTCTGTCTGATTGGTGGCTCAGAAATATTCTCCATATCATCCCTAGAGTCTAGTATACTAAACTATTGTTTTGAGAATTGCTGTTTTTGTGGCTTTCAATAGGCTAGAAAAGAGAGGGCATAAAACATTAGACTTAATGTTAGCCAATAACAAAATAAATCACCAGTGTTTACGAATAGAAAAAGCAGTTTTAGTAAGAAAATGTTTGTTCAAAATAACAAAAATGGCTTCAGAAGGTTGTATTTATATATATATATTTATTCATATATACATATATAAAATCATAATAATCAAAAAAAGGAGACTATCAATTTGGGAGTCGAAGGAACACATTAGGGGCTGGAGGGAGCAAACAGTGAATAAAAGTGAAGTAATTCTATATCATTTAAAATTTAAAAAGAAAATGATTGCTTTATAAAGCACATTACTTTTTCCTTTTCTATTAACTTACTATATGAAATTCAGCAAGCTACCTATCCTTTTATTCACCAGATTATTTATCTCCACAAAGAAGATTGTTTCCAGAATAATCCAAAATAGAGTAAAATTCAAATACTCTAGATTCATTTTATAACTTGAAAAATAATGTACTTTGTGTTTATTAACTGTACTGGCTAGTTTTAGGTCTTCCAGATACATGTTAAATTTATATGACAAGAGAGAACCTCAATTAAGAAACTACCTCCATAAGATTAGGCTAGGGGCAAGCCTGTAGGGCATTTTCGTACTTAGTGATTGATTTTGTGAGCCCAGCCCATTGTAGCTGGGACATTCCCTGGGTTGCTGGTCCTGAATTCTGTGAGAAAGAAGACTGAGAAAGTCATGAGGAGCAAGCTGGTGAGTAGTACCCTTCCATGCCCTCTTCATCAGCTCTTGCCTCCAGTTCACTTACCTGTTTGAGTTCCTGTCCTGATTTCCTTCAATAGTGAATAGTGATGTGAAACTGTAAGTTAAATAAAGCCTTTCCTTCTCATGTTACTTTGGCTGTGATATTTCACCACAGCTGTGATAACTCTCAGACACTGACTGGACTGAAAATGTTTGCCTGTTTGAATTTTTAAAAATCAACAAGTTAACAATATGTAAAAAAGGAATATATATGCCTAACAGCTATACATGCATGCCTTAGTTTTCTTTTTATTAATTGCTTTCAGGACAACTGTTTCCTAGTCTCTGAGTAGATGCAAACGTTATTCAACAATTTATTGACTTTCAAACTTTCATTCAACCAAACAGTCTGCTGCAAATGCGCATTTGAAACATTTTTTATGAATTTTAAGATTGCAGTGATACTTCATTACAGATATTTTAATCTACAGAATCTATTAAATGACTATTCTTTTTCTTTTAAAAGCTAAAATGGATCCATTAGGAGATGCTTGAAAGAGTATATAAGTAAATGTCATCAATGTTAATGCTTACCTACATGGCTTTCCTTTGGGGAAACGTAAGGACCATGTGCACAAAAGTGTGGTGTGATGATGTATGTGTGATCATCATGCATTAATGTGCATTATAAATATGATATTTTGTTTTGGATTTTTTTTTCTCCATGAAGAGATTAACAAATATTTGCCTTTGCAGTAAATATATATTTAACATCTCCTATTAGTTGTCTTTCATGAACTGTTAAATGTAAATTGTGAGATATAATATAAAATCTGATTTTAAAACACTTGTAAATATGGTGATAGTTTGAAGATTATGAAATCTATGCATATATGTGACACAATCTGTTGATAGCTGTTTCTCTTTCTTAGGGTATATTGTCCAATTTTGTAATTCATTTCTGACCTAATTATTTACCCAGTTACCCTGTGGATAAATAGGTCAAATAATCATATACAATATAAAATCTTTCACTGCATATTCTAAAATTATGACATGCATGACCTCCAGGTACAGCTATTTGAAAAAGTATGCTTTGTGTACCATGCTGCGGCAGGGTTGAAATCAGCCAGTAACGGCATATTGGTGATGATGGATGTTCTCTGATCAGGCAACCCTCCAATGATAAATGGCATTCATTGGCGAAATGCTTGACCAGACTGTCCTCTGTGTGCATAATTTTTAAGGACAATACAGTATTCAATCCAAAATGCTTTTAGCATCATTATGTCTCTAATTCAGCTAATCAGCCTCAGCCTCATTGGCATTGCTTCTACTTGAGCACAATATTGCTGAGAGAAAAAGAAAGAGTAATATATAATCATTGTTTCTCCTTTTACTACATAGAAATGGTTGTTAGGAAATCATTGAGATCACTAGAAAGATGAATCTGGAAACAGAAAGCATTCTTGTCTTTGAGGATTACAGTGCTTATGAAAGAAAGTATCACCTGAAACAAACTTGTGTATATCTGTTAATTGAAATGTAATTAAGACAAGGAAAGGGTAGAAGTGTAGAGGATGGTTTGGACACATTTTTAGCCTGTGAAAGGTTCTGAGTTCCATGTTTAACAGTGAAAAAAAAAGACGAGGGCAAAAATGACCGAGTTACCTAACTAGGTAAACAATATATTATGTACATAAAGCTGTACCAGCAAAGATTCCCCTTCAAGGAACCGTTTGTTACTCAGCTATTATCAGACAGGCTCCAGCTGTTAGTCTCCTGTGAGACTACCAGAATTTCAGGGCCCTGTCATCAAAGGTCACAGCCTTTCTACAGTCACATATATCTCAGTGCTGATGAAAAGGAACAGGATAAACTATCAGCCATCTGAAACTTAGTTAGGGCACTGTTGGCCAGGTTCACCTTGGTGTTAAATAAAGCCACTTAGATTCTCTGTCATCATGAGGCTATAGCTCTTTCTCTGTCAACTCCTGCCAACTCTCTCCTTCTCTGTCATTCTCCAGAGCATGACTTAAAAAACATGTGTTCAGTATAGATTTATCCTCTTAAACTATTACCCAGAATGCATTCCTATTGAGAGTCAGGCAAGGCAGAGTTGGGGCTTCCTGATGAGGAACAGGGCAAGAACTCATTTGTACAGTTTGGCAGAACTTTGGAGAAAGGACTTTCAGCAGCAGAAAACATGGCATTCTCTGGTGACTGGATGCTAATCGAATGAAAAATAATATAAAAATAGATACCAATGTGAATCACACTTAGAATTAAGAATTTTCTTTAGCTTAGCCAGCATAAGTAGAAACCTAACTTGATACCATACCAGTGTTAACAAGCTTTTGTTTTCTTTCTAGATGTTTCCTAAGTCTGTGTTTTCCTCCCTAAAATGGAGATCTTAAGTAAAAAGGAGGAAGAAAACCCCCAAAAGCATAGTGTGTAGCCTTTAATTTTACTATAAAGACAAGTTCTTATCATGTAACTCTACTTGGCCTTGAACTCATAGTCCTTCAGTGGCAGCCTCCTGACAACTGGGGTTATAGGTGAGCAGCACCATAGTCAGATGACATCGGAATTTTGTTCAAAAGCACTTATTCAGAACATAAATATTCAGGGATTTTTTTTCAGGCTAATAACGGTATTTGAAGTGGAAACTGGAAAGGTGGTGATGGAGATGTAAGTCTGGTATTCACAAGTTTTCACAAGTCCAAAGTTCTCTCTAGCACTATTAAAAAATATATGGCATTGGAAGATTGGATTCACATATGTTTTTCTTTAATGCCACTCACAATCTGATAAATCTAGAACATGTGTTACATTGACCAGAGTCTGCTTTTATCTTTTCTGAAATTCCAGTCCTTCAACTATATGCTCTTGGTGGCAAAATTATTTGGGATCCAAGGAGGAATGAAGATTCAAGGAGAATTGAGCAGGGGGATTTTTCAGATTGTTAAGTGGTTTTAAGAAAATAGGTCAGCATGCAAAGAAAGGTGATGTAAGTAGGAAGAGAATGAAAGATTCTGTATACTTGCAGTCACAAAGCCAAGGTAATTTAAGTACACAAACAGAAAGTAACACTGTATAAGTATGTTAGATAAGGAAAAACTAAGTAAAAACATTTCTTCTAGTATTTCTGGGTGTAAAACATCCTTCTCATTATAACAACACCCCCCAAAAAGAATAAACAGTGGCCACTTAATATCAAATGAAGGAAGTATCAGAAAGGACAGTGTTGACATTCTACCTTGGAATGAGTGGAAAAGGAGTTTACAAAGAAACTCAGAAATAAGAATGGATGGGCTCCTATGAGAAACCAACTCAATGACAAACACAGTTTCAAAAGCTTTTTGCAACTCTGCATATGCCTGAGTTATCCTCCTTGCTTTGTCATCGCTGGTGTCAATAATGCTCAGTATGCTCTCCAAACTGGGTCATTCCATAACCTCTTGCTAGGTCATCAGAGAAACACAGCACCTGGGAACGTGTGAGAAATCACTGCAGCCATTCTACTAGTGCTCCTGACATCAGTTTTGTTCCTGTGTGCCTTATTTCTTTTTTGAAATATTTCAACTTTAGTTCTCCAAACAATTGATTGTATGGAAACTGTTCCCCCTGTAAGATATTTGGAAAAGCACTGAGCAGCATAATGAAATTATGATGGGAGGAGGGGCATGTTGCCACATCACTGGTTTTATTGAAACCATTACTATATGAAAATGGCTAGAAACTTGCCAGCTTTGGCTCAGGTTAAAAGTTATATTTGTTCTCTGTTATTTTTATACTGCTGTAAAAAGTAGTTGAGCCCATTCAAAATAAAAATATATCAGACCAATGAGATTACCAGTATGGCTGCTGAGTTGAGAAGGTACACCTCTGGTCCATCCACTCTTGAGTCAGACTAAGTAATATTTATCATTCTAACTGAAGTCAAATGTTAACTCAAGAAAATAAAATAATAGTGGAAATAGGAAGGAATGCCAAATATTATACCCGATGAAATAAGCTACACAAAAAGAGCACATATTAGAAGATCCCATTGGAGTGATATAGCCCCAAAACACAAATATATACACAGAAGTGTTTTAATGGTTTTCTAAGACTGGAGTAGTAGCTCAGACAGATTTTAAAGGCACAAAAATTCTCTTCAAAGTATTATAAAAGTGCTAACATTGGAGTGTTGTGATGCTTGCATATCTCTGTAAATAACCTAAAATTTTTGTTTGGCTGGAGAAAAACTTTCTTTCCTATGAATACTTTGATAAGCTACCAAGCAAAAGAAGTAAGATAGATTGGTAAACATTGAATTTTACATTGAGAATTAGTAAATTTATGGATAAAAATATATCTTAGTAGAGGTATTACCAAAAAAGTATAATCCTTAGTAGAAAAAGAAAAGAAAAAAGGAAAGGCAGGCATATCTCAAATATCTCCAAATTCATAAAATATTTGAATATGCTAAGAAATCCTTGTCATTTGTACCTCCAGTAAAAAATGGTATATTAGACTATTTAACAGCAACTATGTTCTCATAGAATCCTGATAAGAAATATAAACACTTTCATGCTTTTCCCTTTTGACAGAAAAGGAACTATTATGACATTATATCCAATGCCATTGAGATAGTAAATAGATATGTTTAAATTTAAGCTCATGTTGTAATGATTTTAAATGTTCACACTCTTTTCACTGAACCAAAGGATCTTTGATCTGGTTTAAAGAGTTAGAATAAATATAGACATGCAAAAAAATCTCTATGCAATTGAGAAAATGCAATTTCAAAAGCCGACTTCTACAAATATTACCATCCTATTAAATTTTCATCACTATTGGTATATATTTTGAATATACAAGATTGATATAAGTTTACTCCTTTGATGATGGTGATTAAAAGGACAGATAAATTTCTCCTTTTAAAATTCTATAGGTTGTGAAGTGCACATATTTATTAAATTTTTAGGTATGGTTAGGATTTTATCTTTTCCCCCTCAAACTTATCCAATGACAGAATTACAATAGTCTCAGAAGTATAGCAGAACATATTTTTTAATAATTCTTAATATTTAAAATTACATAACATGTGTAAATTTAAAGGCAGTCCTATGAAGATGGCTAGGTAATATTAGTGATATACGTGTTAATTTTATAGGTCAAAGAAATGAAGGACAGGTTCAGCAACATGCTTCACAAAGAGGCAATGTTTGGTAGTATATTTACCTGCCAGTGTAGGATGATATTCCAAATCAAACCAAGAATCAGTTTATGATTTCCATCCACTATGTCAGAACTTCCTATATTCACTAAATCAACCTGATAAAAAAAGAAGAAAATATTTGAAGAATGGATAGAAAAAGATTAATTGTAAACAAAACAAAATGTGAAAGGATTGCATTTAGCTATTCTTAGAACCTAAGCAACAGTACAGATTTTAAAATGTAATGTAAAGATGAAACTAAATTCATTTTTAAGTTTCCTTTCCATATTGAACAAGTACCTAGGAACTAGAAGATGAAAGTATTAACATATGAAGGTATCACTGCACATTAAAGAGACCAATCAGTATTTTCCAAATAAAATGGATAATAATAATAATTCACAAAAGATGCCTGAAATTAAGACATACTGTCTAGTATCAAATCAAGTTGAAACATAAAAACAAAGCACATAAAAATAAAATAAGAAGTTTCATCACTATTTCTATGTAGTAGAAAAGAAAAGCAGGCCAGGTGATGGTGGTGTCCTCTTTTAATCCTAGCACTCAGAGGCAGAGGCAGGCAGATCTCTATGAGTTTGAGACCAGCCTGGTCTACAGAGTGAGTTCCAGCACAGCCAGAGCTACACAGAGAAACCCTGTCATGAAAAACATACAAACAAACAAACAAACAAAAAATTCTGATATGGCTTTGGATGAATATATTTGCCTGAAATCTCCTGCTTTAGAAAAATGTTAGAAATTTATAAAGCAATTGTAGCTAATAGATGGCTCTCTTTTCCCTACAGAGGATTGATTTCAGAATCAAAATATATGTTTTACTTTTCATGGTAAATTTCCATGTTGTGCTCAGAATAAGATTTGTCCCCCAAAGTTTCATATGGTGGCAGCTTAGTCCTCAGCGTAGAGGACTGAGAGATGGGGAAACTTAAAAGTGAGGCTTGGTGAAAGGTGAAAGAATTTCAAGTCATTAAGGGATTCAACTTTAGAAGAAATAGATTTTCATTTATAATGACATAGATAATGAGGAGCTTGATTAATTAACATAAAAGGTACTATAATATCATATTGGTTTTCTCAGTTTGGATTTTCGTTGACATTCTTGGTCATAGAACCACCTTCCCCCTCTCTCTGTCACTGTCTGTCTCTATCTCTCTGTCTCTGTCTCTCTCACAAACACACACAATACACACACACACACACACACACACACACACACACACATATACACACATACATACACACATACATACTCTTCCACACTAACAGCATGCCTTTGGGCCTCTACAAATATGTGTTAAGTAAGCACTTTTGCTAAGTGACCAGTTATGGGTAGTGTTTTATGGCAACACACAACACAACAATAAGACACACTATGTCACCTATCTTTCATGTTCCCAACATATTGAGTGGAATCAACTTAAACATGAGATGAAGGGAATTGAGCAAAAAAATCTGGGCCTTGTGATTACACACACACACACACACACACACACACACATACACACACACACACACGCGAGCGCGCGCGCGCGCGCGTGTGTGTGTGTGTGTGTGTGTGTGTGTGTATACATTCCCATATTCTTGGGAAATAGAAATAGGATTGTTCAGATGAAAACAGCCTTTATGCCCATAGCCTAATATATCAAGGAAGGAAATGTGGTTCATATACCCAAGCATTTTTATTCAGCTATAGAAAAACATGAAATTCTTTCTTTTGCAACAAAACAGATGGAACTGCATAAAGCTATGTTATATCAAATAAAACAAGCACAGAATGCCAAGCACTGTGTGATCTAGATCCTGTGTGAAATCTCCAAAAGTTGATTTCACAGATGTTGCAACTAGAATGAGGGTTACATAATAGTTGGAGCATGGGAATCAGAAAGGCAGCATCTGGAAAAGGTTGATTAGGGATCAATAAGTTACAGTATGATAGAAACAAACAGTTCTGCCATACAATTTGCATTGTAGGGTGACTAGATAACAATAATGTAGTGAGCACTTAAAAATGATAGAATAAGAGATGTTGAAAATTTTCACCAGAAATATGTGGTATTTAATGAGTTGTATTTAATTTGATTTAAACATCATGTGATCTATATACATTGCAACTTTATATAATATTCCATTGGTATATATATATATATATATATATATATATATATATATATTTATGTTTCTAATATCATCTAGAAAGTTAAAAAATTCTAAATTTTAAGTTATTATTTATTTATACATTCAAACATTTCATTTGCATAATTGCTTGAATGACATATCATGTTTCTATTCTAATTATCACGAATTAATTGTTCAATTTGCTTATCCTTTCTTCTCAGTTTCTTCCAATATGATCAACAAACTCATGTTTTTTCTTGACATCTATGATCACTGTGATGGTTTGGATGAGAATTAAACCTATAGGCTCATATATCTGAATGCTTGGTCCCTAGTGTGTGGAAACTGTTTGGGGAAGGATTAGGAAGTATGGCCTTATTGGAAGAGGTATGTCACTGGGGGTGGTCTTTGAGGTTTCAAAAGCACACACAAGACCCAGTCTTACTCTGCCTCAATCTTATGAATAATGTGTAATCTCTCAGCTACTCCTCTATCTCTATGCCTGCCTGCTGCCTGCCTAATGCCATACTTGCCACCATGATGGCCATAGACTCACCCTCAGAAAATAGAAGGAAGCCCCCAATTCATTATTTTACAAGTTGTCTTAGTTATAGTGTCCCTTCAGAGCAATAGAAAAGTAACGAAACAATGATCTCCTGGGGGATGTCTCTGTATCCTGTGAATATATGTTGTTCCCATTGGTTAATAAAAAAAGCTTCCTTGGTCTATGGCAAGGCAGCTTAGAGGCAAGTGGGAAATCCAAGGAGAGAGACAGGAAAGAGAAAGGTGGAGTCTGAAGAGACACCAGCCAACCACTGCCAAAGGAGCAGCAAGATGCCAGCAGACCTGTAATAGAAATGGGTTAGGTTATAAGAGCTAGGTTGAAAGAAGCCTGCCATAGGCCATAAAACTGGTAATTAATATAAGCCTCTGAATGAATATTATAAGTGGCTCCTTTATCCTCCTCTCTCTTCCTCTCTCTTCCTCTCTCTTCCTCTGTTCTCTTCTCTTCTTCTCTCTCTCCTCTCCCCTCTCAAAAAAAATGAAAAGAAAAAGAAAGATGATTATTATAAGTGGCTGTGGGACGACGGGATTAGGCAGGACCAGAGAAACCTTTCAGCTACAATCATCCTTTTATATGAGTGTACAAAAGCAATTTTACATAGACAAAAATCTACAGGGTTTAAACAAATAACAGATCATATATAGATAAAATGATTTTTTGAAAACAATAATCCCCATTATTTATTCATTTTAGTAGTTATATTGTATTTAACATTTTAGGTATTTTATAAAATAGTTATTCAACCCCCTGTTGGTAGACATTTGTGTAGTACTATGAATTTTGTAGGTTTTCTTTTGTGTTATTTTAAACACTGCATATACAAATGTGGCCTGTATCATTTTAATACCAATTATAGCGAAAGTTTTCACTAGATAAAAGCATGTGCATATGTATTTTTCTGTATTTAAATTTTTGTGGACATTTTCACATGCATTTATAAAAAATATTTACTATTTTATATCTTTTTCCCATTTTATTACTTTTTTTGAGGACTTTGTACAATATATTTATTCATAGTGAGGACTCCTAGTTAGGAAGGATAGGGAGTCTGAACTGACCATCTTTTGTAGCCAGACAAGGTGTCTATTGGTGGGACTGGGGTTACTTGTTGGCCAAGGAGGTCCTATGAAGATCCCTAAACAACCAAGATTAATGCTAGGACAAAAGGTCATCCTCTGAAAACTGACAACAGGGCACCAATGCTGAGGACAACTTCTACTCAGCCCATTGAACGTACAGAGATCAAGCTGGTGCAGACTTGGAAGTATCACCCCTACATTCTAGTCTCTTTGTCAAAAGAAGGTACTCTGCAGGCTGTGGAAAGAGAAACCTGAGCACCAATGCAGGCACAAAATATTCCATCTATAATCTCTCTAGCCTACAAGTTGTGCTACGGCAATGGTGGCACAGAACATGTGGGAGTGGCCAATCAACCTTTGGTTTTAACTTGTCCGTACTAAAAGAAGAAGCCCATGTCCTACATTGCCTGCATGGCCAGAAACCAGAGACTGGATAGCCCAGAGAGCTAGAGTAGAGCCAAACATAAGTGGCAAATAAATCATGAAATGATTCCTAATGATATTCTTCTATACTCATAGATCTGTGCTTTATCTAGGTGTCATCAGAGAGCCTTCATCCAGCAACTGACGAGAACATATACAGAGACCCACAGTCAGACATTATGTGGATATAGAGTCTAAGTTGGGGGATTGTCATTGGGTCCCTCCTGTAGGAGATGAGGGAACCCTGTAGAAATAGGAGGAGTAAACTCTGTTTAGGCATGATAGGAATGGAAGACACCAAGAGAACATGGCCCACCAAATCAACTATGCATGTGTCACATGGATCACAGAGACTGAAGTGGTAAGCACAGGGCCTGCATGAGTCTGAACCAGGTCCTCTGCATATATGTTACGGCTGTTAGTTTTATATCCTTGTTAGACTCATTAAAGTGGATTTGGGTATATCACTTTCTCCTACACTTGGGACTCTTTCCCCCTGCTGGGTTGCTTTGTCCAGGCTCAATAAGAGGGCTTTTGCCTTGTCTTATTGTATCTTGTGTTGTCCTAAAGGAAGTCATCTCTTGGAGAGCTGTTCTTTTTCTGAAGAAGAAACAGAGAGGGAATGAATATGGGTGAATGGGGAGTTGATGTAGGAGGGGAAGTAGGAGGAGTGGAGGAAGGGGAAAATGTGGTTGGGATATATTATATGAAAGAAGAGTCTAATTTCAAAAAAATCAAATTAAGTAATGAATAATGAAAATTAGAGCCAACCATAAAGGAGAAAAGGGTAGCAGTGAGTCATATTCTTATAATAAATACTAAGGTGTGTGTGTGTGTGTGTGTGTGTGTGTGTGTGTGTGTGTGTGATGAGAAAAATTCTGTGAATTAATACACTAATGAATTTTGCCATGCA